ATATAATGGAAAACATTTCTTGCTTTAGAACTGGACTGGAGTTTGAATGCCATTTCTGGCACTTTCTGCCTTGTGATTCTGTTTCATTGTATATGAAGTAGGAATAATAATGCCTTTCTTGGAAAGTGATTTTGAGATTTAAATGAGATGTCCTCTGTTTTCCCCAGATCTTGCAATAGGCACTCAGGTGCCAGCTATTCTACCTTTATTGGTTACTAATGAATTGTTACATGCTCTTAATTTCTGCATTGATAAGAGCACTGGACAAGATCTCGCAGCCACTTCAGGATATTTAGTCTGTTTTTAGGTGTTTGCTTGAAAATCGTGTTTACGAAATTTGAACATCAGCTTTGACATCTTGATCATACATTTATATATCGTGAATGCTTAAGTTGGTAAAATACACAAATCAAAATTAACCAAAATTTTAATAATTAAATATTTCCATATTTTTGGTAATGTGTCTTTATGGTCATTGGCATATTGAACTATAGATGTCTCTAGCATCAAAGCAGTGTTAATAAGTCTAAGACTACTGGCTATCATTTATTAACATTGGTCTGATTTGTGGTAATTGTGTTCATAAAGCTTCTTAATATATTTCCTAACTTCTCTAAGGTATTGGCTTTTTCATTCTTCTGCATGTGTGAGATTTGGAAACCCTTTGAATTAGGGCTTTGTGACTGACCCACTGTCACTACTTCCTTTTTAAAAAGTATTTTCTCCTGAAAGCACAAATAAATTAGAAATATCCTTGGCTGGGTACAGTGGCTCACACCTATAATCCTAACAGTTTGGGAGGCTGAGGCAGGAGGATCACTTGAGCCTAGGAGGTCAAGGCTGTGGTCAGCCATGTTTGCTCCACTGCAGTACAGCCTGGGTGACAGAGTGAGACCCTGTCTCTCAAAAAATGTAGTTTGTTCTTATTCTTTTTTCCTTTCATATTGGTATCAAGTGATTTAAATTTTATATCAACTTTGTTCATTAAAATTGGGGGACTATGCTAAACAAATTTACAATTCTTTTGCTTAGAAAAATGGAACTCCTTAAGTCGTACATAATTGGAAAACGTTTACTTTTCCCTTAACATTTATATTGAGACCATTAATTGGAATTTCTGGTCACAGTGAAAATAATAGTTTTTTTTTCAGGGCTTGTTAAACAACTGGTTTAAAACAAATGATGAACAAAAGCTTGGTCAATGAGAATAATGTTGTGTGTGAAACTGGGAACAATTCATTATTTGCCTCATTTTGCAGATGGAATTAAGAATGCAAAAATAGTGGACATTAGCCTCACTTATAAAGATAATGTTATTAATACATTGTTGTTCATTCCTTTTGAACCAGATTCCAAAATGCTAGAAATTATGTTAAGATGTTATTTTGTGTCAGGCAAGGTATGATCTCACACCTATGATCTCAGCACTTTGGGAGGCCAAAGCAGACAGATCATATGAGGTCAGGAGTTCGAGACCAGCTTGGCCAACATGGTGAAACCCTCTCTCTACTGAAAATACAAAATTAGCTGTGTGTGATGGCACACACACCTGTAATCCCAGCTACTTGGGGTCTGAGGCAGGAGATTGTGTGAAGCCAGGAAGTGGAGGTTGCAGTGAGCCCAGATCGAACCACTGCACTCCAGCCTGGGTGACAACAAAAATAAGATGCGATTTTGATGATGTATCATCATAGACTTTTATATATTACTGTGTTTTAAAATAGGTATATTTACATTTAAGAAAGTTTTGGTTTTTTTCCTTTTTTTTTTTTTTTTTTTTTTTTTTTGAGATGGAGTCTTGGTCTGTTCCCCAGGCTGGTGTGCAGTGGCACAATCTTGTCTAACTGTAACGTCGCCCTCCTGGGTTCAAGCAATTCTCCTGCCTTAGCCTCCCCAGTAGCTGGGATTACAGTTACATGCCACCACGCCCAGCTAATGTTTGTATTTTTAATGGAGACAGGGTTTCACCATGTTGGCCAGACTGGTCTCCTGACCTCAAGTGATTTGCCCGCCTCAGCCTCCTGAAGTGCTGGGATGACAGGCGTGAACCACCACGCCTGGCCTATCTTAATCTTAGAATATCTAAAATTAAGTAGAAATTTCCCATGGTGGAGAAAAGTATTCATCCTAGAATACAATTTTCCATATATGTTTAAAGTGTTTTAGCTTTATTAACAATTAGTTAGGCCGGGCGCGGTGGCTCAAGCCTGTAATCCCAGCACTTTGGGAGGCCGAGGCGGGTGGATCACGAGGTCGAAAGATCGAGACCACCCTGGTCAACATGGTGAAACCCCGTCTCTACTAAAAATACAAAAAAACTAGCTGGGCATGGTGGTGCATGCCTGTAATCCCAGCTACTTAGGAGGCTGAGGCAGGAGAATTGCCTGAGCCCAGGAGGCGGAGGTTGCGGTGAGCCGAGATCGCGCCATTGCACTCCAGCCTGGGTAACAAGAGCGAAACTCCGTCTCAAAAAAAAAAAAAAAAAAAAAAAAAAAAACAATTAGTTAATTAATTAGGATAAGGTCTGGCTCTGTTGCCTAGGCTGGATTTCAGTGGTACCATCAGAGTTCACTGTAACCTCCAACTCCAGACTACAAGCCATGCTCTTGCCTCAGCTTCCTGAGTAGCTGGGACTGCAGGTACTTGCCATCCTGCCCATCTAATTTTTAAGTTTTTCCTTTTTTTGTAGATATGGGGTCTTGCTATCTTGGTCTTGAATTCCTATGCTCAAGCTATCCTCCCACCTCAGCCTCCCAAAGTGCTGGGATTACAAGCATGAGCCACCACACCTGGTCTGTTTTAGTTTCTTTAATTTGCATAATTTGAATAGCAAAGCCTTGCTTTTTGGTTTTTGGTTAGGCTTATGGAGATTAAATAATTAGCCAATTCTAGTAGATTCTAATTTCAACATTAATTTTAAAAATATCATTATGTAGGCAGTATAAAATTATGGAAAGAGTATAAAACTCAACTTTAGGAGGTTAAGATTCAAGTTCCGCCTCCTCCTCTGCCTCTTAGTAATTTTACCTTTGGTAAAGATTTAAGTATTCTGAGTTTCTTTTCCTTATCTTTATATAGTAATAATACCTGCTTAGTCTATCTTGTTTGCTATGAGAATCAAATGAGATAATATATAAGAAAGGAATATTTAAATACCAAGGTGAAATTGATCTAAACAAATAATGCTATTTCTCCCTCATAAGTGAGGTTCAAACTATAGTGATCATCGTTAGCACAGAAGCAAGAGCAAGATTCAATCTAAGGAAAAACCCTGACCAAAGAATGCTCTTAATTGTTATTGAGAATAGGTGACTACGGTCCTTGATCAGTTGTGCTACATAAGCCATTTAATAAAAAGTAAAAACATCTAAAATGGAGTACAATGCTGAAATGTTTGAGCTAGAATGCAAGCATTTTCTAGCCAAATCCTCTTATTTTACAGATGAAGAAACCGAGACAGGGTTATCTAATAAGTTTTGTAGTGGCAAACTAAAATGCAGTTCTCAGGATGGTTAATGAGATAAAGAGTTTGAAGTTAGTTGTACTTATAAGGTGTGAAATCACAATTTTACCACAGACTTAGAATGTAACTTGGACAACTTGACTTCCCTAAGCCTTTGTTTGTTCACCTGTAAATTTGGGCTGGTGATAAGCTAATCTATTGGGTTGTTGAAGTAAAGGAGTTGATACATGTAAAGTGCTTAGCATATTTTTGTCATGTGGTATGCACTCAATAAATGATACTTCTATTATTACTATTATTTTTAGCTGTTTAGCAGAATCTCCCAGATCATTATTCTCTCCTTTCACTAAATTTGTTCAAGGTGATAGCTAATGGTTCAACTATCTCACTGAAACAACCCAGACAGTACTTATCATGTGTCCTCATTCTGCACCTATGAGTGTGAGCAAATTCTTTTTGTATTATAGTATTGAGATGAGAAGGTTATTCTTAAAAAGATTGAAAACATTAGAAAGTTTAAAAATACAAGGTAGAAAATCTGATGTAAATAATCACCTGTTGTGAAATTTAATAAAGAACTGAAAAGACTTGGCCATATAAGAAGATGGGTCTTAGGGGATACGAAAATCATTTCCCACCCCTAGCGCTTTTCTTGAATAAAGAGACGTGATAGGCTTTTGTTTCATTCAACTCAGTTGTAGGCTAAATGTAATGTACCCCCACCCCTGCCCCCAGCCTTTTCTTATTGTTGTTACTATTTTGGGTCACTCTGTTTAAGAGTCAAGACTGTTTTGTTCATTTGCTGTGCCTGGTATAATGCCTTGAATATAATAAAGAGGTACCTGAACGTTGACCTTTTTTTTTTTTTTTTTTTTTTTGAGACGGAGTTTCGCTCTTCTTACCCAGGCTGGAGTGCAATGTCGCGATCTCGGCTCACCGCAACCTCCGCCTCCTGGGTTCAGGCAATTCTCCTGCCTCAGCCTCCTGAGTAGCTGGGATTACAGGCACGCGCCACCATGCCCAGCTAATTTTTTTGTATTTTTAGTAGAGACAGGGTTTCACCATGTTGACCAGGATGGTCTCGATCTCTTGACCTCGTGATCCACCCGCCTCGGCCTCCCAAAGTGCTGGGATTACAGGCTTGAGCCACCGTGCCCGGCCTTTTTTTTTTTTTAAGACAGGGTCTCTGTTGCCCATGCTGGAGTGCAGTGGCACAATCACAGCTCACTGCAGCCTCCACTTCCTGGGCTCAAGTAGTCCTCCCACCTACAGTTGTGTACCACCAAGCCTGGCTAATTTACTATTTTTTTGTAGAGATAGGATTCCACTATATTGCCCAGGCTGGTCTTCAATTTCTGGGTTCAAATAATTCTCCCACCTTGGCCTCCCAAAGTGCTAGGATTACAGGCATAAGCCCCTGTACTTGGCTGATTTTTTAAATAAAGATCTTAACTTAGAATTATTGTATATATAATTATTTAGTTTTTGTAACTATTATGTAATTTTAAAATTAATTATAGGTTTAAAACATTTTCAGATTTCCTTTTTTTCTGGGGAACTATATTTTTAATAACAACAACATTGGTTGCCCTTCTGAAAAAAGAAAACAAAGAAGTATCAGTAGTAAAAGAAGAAACACAAGGGATCACAGATACTTACAAGCTGCTTTTTGCAATTATAAAAATGCCAGCAGTTCTGACATTTTGCCTTCTGATTCTAACTGCAAAGGTAAGAGATTTATAAATCAAATTTATCATTTTCTTATAAGTATCAATATCATGGAATATTTTCAATGCCTTTTTTATATCATAGGTCCCTTTCCACTATCATTAGAAATTAACAATAAAAAGCAGTATTTTCTGTTTATTAAATGTATTTGAAAAGGTATAGTGATATCAACTTTAATTTTATAGTAAGCTAAATGTCTTGGAATATTGTAAAGAATTATGTCAATTAGAAGAACTGCTAATAAATGTGAACTTTAATGATATTAATGGTTGGAGTGGAAATTAATGCCTTTAAAAGTCAATTGTTCTCTCCTCTTATAATGAGTATACATTTAACATTGGAGTAATACAATTATTTATTTAGAATGTGCTTTAAAAAGATATAGGGCCGTACGTGGTGGCTCATGCCTGTAATCCCAGAACTTTGGGAGGCTAAGGCTGGTGGATCACCTGAGGTCAGGAGTTCAAGACCAGCCTGGTCAACATGATGAAACCCTGTCTCTACTAAAAACGCAAAAATTAGCTGGGCATGTTGGCACGCACTTGTAGTCCCAGCTACTCGGGAGGCTGAGGCAGGAGAATCGCTCAAACCCGGGAGGCAGAGGTTGCAGGGAGCAGAGATTGTGCCACTGCACTCTAGCTTGGGTGTCCGAGCGAGACTCCATCTCAAAAATAAATAAAAGATTAAAAAAAAAAAGTATTGACCTTCTTGGTATATGTCCTTTGAACCTCCCTTTTCCCCCCTATATATATGTGTGTGCATGTATGTGTGTATACATATACTTTGTATATTTACTTATATGCTTTATTTTATTTATTTATTTTTTGAGACTAAGGCCCACTCTGTTGCCCAGGCTGGAGTACAGGGGCACAATCTCAGCTCACTGCAACTTCTACCTCCTGCGTTCAAACGATTCTCCTGCCTTAGCCTCCCAAGTAGCTGGGATTATAAGCACATGCCCAGCTAATTTTTGAATTCTTAGAAGAAACAGGGTTTCACCATGTTGGCCAGGCTGGTCTCCAACTCCTGACTTCAAGTGATCCGCCTGCTTCAGACTCCCAAAGTTCTGGGATTACAGGTGTGAGCCACCACACCCAGCCTGTTTACTCATAGTACTTTAAAAGTGGAATTGGATCATACTGCGTGTAATTTTTTGTCTTTTTATCTTATACCAAACATTTCTATAGCATTAAATATTTGAAAACATACTTTTTAGTAGCTATAAGATATAGTTAGTGCATAAATTTACCATAATCTATTCATTTTTCTGTTGTATATTTTCTGTTTTTAAATTATAAAAATGCACTAGCAAATATTTTTGTGCATAAGTCTTTCTTTGATTTTCTGGATATTTCCTTCCAGTAGATTTTTTTTTTTTTTTTTTTTTTTCTTTTTTCTTTTTTTTTTTTTTTTTTGAGACGGAGTTTCGCTCTTGTTACCCAGGCTGGAGTGCAATGGCGCGATCTCGGCTCACCGCAACCTCCGCCTCCTGGGTTCAGGCAATTCTCCTGCCTCAGCCTCCTGAGTAGCTGGGATTATAGGCACGCACCACCATGCCCAGCTAATTTTTTGTATTTTTAGTAGAGACGGGGTTTCACCATGTTGACCAGGTTGGTCTCGATCTCTCGACCTCGTGATCCACCCGCCTCGGCCTCCCAAAGTGCTGGGATTACAGGCTTGAGCCACCGCGCCCGGCCCGATTTTTTGTTTTTTTAAGATAATGTCTTGCTCTGTTGCCGAGGCTGGAGTGCTGTGGCATGATCATAACTCAATGTAATGTCAAATTCCTGTGCTCAAGCCATACTCTGACCTCAGCCTCTCAAGTGGCTGGAACTATAGGTGCTTGCCACCTCACCCAGCTAATTTTTTTTTTTTTTTTGAGACAGTGTCTCACTCTGTCACCCAGGTGGAGTGCAGTGGCGCAATCTTGGCTCACTGCAACCTCCACCTCTGAGTTCAAGTTGTTCTCCTGCTTCAGCCTCCTGAGTAGCTGGGATTACAAGCGCCCACCATCACGCCTGGCAGATTTTTGTAATTTTAGTAGAGATGGGGTTTCGCCATGTTGGTCAGGCTGGTATCAAACTCCTGACCTCGTGATCTGCCTGCCTCAGCCTCCCAAAGTGCTGGGATTACAGGCGTGAGCCACCATACCTGGCCCACCCAGCTAATTTCTTAATTTTCTGTAGAGATGTGGGGGTCTCGCTTTGCTACACAGGCTGGCCAGTAGATTATTAAGTGGGCAATTAGTGGGTCAATGAATGTGATATGATTGCTGAATTGCTTTTCTTTCTTTGTTTTTCTTTTTTTTTTTTTGAATTGCTTTTCAAAAGTTTATACTAATTTATACTGTCTCCAGCAATATAGAAGGAGGTATTTCAATTACAAAGTCTATAATCCTGTATTCTTCTTTTAAACTTTCCCCCAAATAACAACTATGCTAACTTTTAACACTATAGATGTTCTTTCGAGTTTTATATAAGTGTACTATACAGTATATATTCTTATGTTTGATGCATATGTTCTTTTGCCCAGTATTATATTTGTACAATTTACCTATACTTTTATAGCAATAGGTTGTTTATCTCATTGCTGTACAATATTTCATTGTATGAATATGCCACAATTTATCCATTCTATCAACAGGTTTTTTGAGCTATTATGAGTAGTGTTTCTACAAACATTCACCTATGTGACTTTTGGTGAAGATAGGTGCACATTTCTGAATGGTAAATACATATAGAATTGCTGGTTCATGGAAAATGCATAGTAGTATATAATGCCAAATATTTTTCCAAAGTGGTTTTTCCAGTTTTATCCACCACCAGCAGTGCGAGAGAGTTCTGATTGTTTCACATCCTTGAAAACACATATATTGTCTTTTTAATTTTATCCTTTCTGCTGGGTGTATAGTGGCATCTTGTTATGGCCATAATTTGAATTTCCCTAATGACAAAGGATATTGAGCATCTTTTCATGTGATTATTGACCATTTGAATATCCAAAGTTGCCCTTTTCCTTAAATTTGTAACGTTTTTGTTCTTTTTAGATTTCATTTTTTGAAATCTAGGCTGGAGTACAATGGCACCATCATGGCTCACTGCAGCCCTGACCTTCTGGGCTCCAGTGATCCTCCCACCCCAGTTGCTCAAGTATAGGCACGTACCACCACCATGCCCAGCTAATTAAAAAAAAAAAAAAAAGGTTTTTTTGAGATGGAGTTTCTCTCTGTCACCCTGACTGGGATCCAATGACATGGTCTCGGCTCACTGCAACCTTCTTCTCCTAAGTTCAAGTGATTCTCTTGCCTCAGCCTCCCAAGTAGCTGGGATTACAGGCATGTGCCACCATGCTTGCCTAATTTTTGTGTTTTTAGTAGAGATGGGGTTTCACCATGTGGGTCAGGCTGGTGTCGAGTTCCTGACCTTGTGCTATGCCTGCCGTGGCCTCCCAAAGTGCTATTATAGGCATAAGCCGCCGTGCCCAACAGGGACCAAACTTTTAAAAATATATTTTGGATTTGAGTGTTTTATTAGATATGCATATTACAAATATCTCCTACTATATAACTTTTAAGACTTTTACCAGTTTAAGAGTAGATGTTAAAGTCAGTTTGAATAGCTTATTTTTACAGAGAATAAATAAAATGTAAGTGAAATTATTTTCTGGACTTAAATGAAATATATGTTACCTTTAATTTTTTTAATGGTGAAATTTTCTTTGGCTCTATTCCAAGAAGTTACAGTGTATATTATTTATAATTTCTTTTTTTAAAAATTTGTATGATATTGAAGTGGTCTCCTGGTCTAAGGTATTACCTGAGGTTCGTTGTCTCACAGTCACAGAGATCAACAATGTGGACACACAAAGAGTGAGGTTAGCAGCAGAAACTTAATAGGTGAGAGAAAGAGAATAGCTCTGTGCTACAGAGAGGTGTCCTGGAAAAATGGCTTGCCAGATCTGTGGTGAAATGCAGGGGTTTTATAGATAAGCTACTGGGGAGGCTGTGTCTGATTCACACAGGGCATGAAAAACTGGGTAAGTCCAGATGTGCCTATTTACATAGGGCACGAATATCTGGCAGCCCCCACCCTAATCTTTTATTATGAGACAAGTTCTTTGCCTTAGCTATATATACCATGTTGCCCATTTATTTTTTACTGTATACATGCTAATGAAAAAGAGAAAGTGGAGCTTTCATAGTGGACATGCCTGACCCCCAGGTAGCTCTTTTCTGTGGCTTCCAGCTTGCTTATCTATGTTTTCAGTTCAATTTTTCAGGCTGCTCTTTGTTAGAAAAGAAATGATTTTGGAGTCTGCTTTTTGTTAGAAGGGAAACTCTGCCAAGGACTCTTTTGCCCTTACTATCTGCCTAAATAATTTCTTTCTACCTACTGTATCATTATAATTTTACACATTTTGAAAATTTATTAGTAGAAAGAACTCCTTTTTATCCTTTATCTAGATTCTCTAGTTATTAACATTTAGCTCCACTTTCCTTATTTTGTAGATTTTCTCTTTGTATGTGTTTCTATGACATATGTCTTCTGAAATAGTTTAATTTGTACACATTACGCGTTTTTATCCGTAAGTACCTTAAGTATGTATTTCCTAAGAACAAAGCTGCTTACAAAACCACAGTTCAATAGTGGGAAATTTTAAACTGATATAATAGTCCATAATATTATAATATTATATAAACTAATATTATAGTCCATATCCAAATTTTACACTAACCGTCTTTGTAACTTTACTTTTTTTCTGGTTGGAGATCTAATCTAGGATTACACATTACATTCAGTTGGTATGACCTTTCATTGTCCTTAATATTCCTGACATTTTTGAAGAATACAGGCCAATTATTCTATAGAATGGGCTTCTAGTTACATTTCTCCCACGTTTCTTCTTGTTTGGGTTGAGGTTATACAGGCATATAAGGCAGGAAGATCAAAGAAGTAATGTTTTGATGTCTGCAAGGAATCATATTAAGAGTCATATCATGTCTCTTTAGCCCCCTAAGTATTGGTTCTAACTTTAATTGCTTTGCTAATCTATTGTAAAAGTACTGTTTTTCCTTTCGTAATTAAAAATTGACTCATGGGGAGATACTTTGAGGCTATGAATCTTAATTCTTACTCTTTTTTGTTGCTGTTTTTAAGAATTAATCTAACTATACTTTATCCCTCTCATTTGATTCAGTCTCTCAGATCTGTTTTCTCAGAATTACTTTTGAAACATTAGATGAACTTAGGAAATTTTATTATGGTCAGTCAGAAGTTCTTTTAAACTTAAAACTTACAAATCAGTAAATTTGGATTTTTGACCCTGTTTATTACACAGATTGGACTTTTTGAAGTGGAAATTTAGTTGTATTTATAGCCATCTATAATCCCTACCAGTACTAAATTTTCAATTGTTTTCGCTTAATATTACTAGAAAACCATAGGCAAAGTGTACCTCGTTTAATATGATTGTTGTACCAGATATAATATTTGATGCTCACTTGTAACTGTCACGGGTCAGTAATAAAGTTGAGGTTCTTGAAGAACTTACATATGCATGGAGGAAAATATTTCATAAGTCACAAATTAAAATACTTTTTTGTTTTTATATTGCAGATTGGTTTTTCAGCAGCAGATGCTGTAACAGGACTGAAATTGGTAGAAGAGGGAGTACCCAAAGAACATTTAGCCTTATTGGCAGTTCCAATGGTTCCTTTGCAGATAATACTGCCTCTGATTATCAGCAAATACACTGCAGGTCCCCAGCCATTAAACACATTTTACAAAGCCATGCCCTACAGGTAAAAATGAAATAAAAGCTTACTAAATAAGAGAGTAAAATGAGGAACATTCATCAGTATCACTAATATCTAAGTGTAGAATTACATATATGGAAAAAGGTTTGAAAAGCATCTTTAATTTCAGTATCATTTATATGTACTTTTATCTTTTTAACCTCCTAACAGGTTTTAGATACAGCTTCTTTTATATGGTAGGCACACAGATTTCTGTTCTTTTTGTTGTTATTTAAGCTAAAACGAAAGTCAACTCAATGTTTCTTTCTTTTTCTATAGATTATTGCTTGGATTAGAATATGCCCTACTGGTTTGGTGGACTCCTAAAGTAGAACATCAAGGGGGATTCCCTATATATTACTATATCATAGTCCTGCTGAGTTATGCCTTACATCAGGTAAGCTTGCTGTGGTTTTCTCAGGAAATAAACTCTTCTGTGTAAAATAAAAAAGGCAGCTTTTTACAGTTTCCTTAAAATAATAATGAATTTTAATAAATTTTAAGATTTAAGCACTGAGGAAATTATCGATGATAGACTTTAAATCTTATGACTTTTCATTTAATGAGTTCTGTTCATGGAAAGAGACCTTTTTTTTTTCCAAGACAGTGTCTTGCTGTGTCGTCAAGGCTGGAGTGCAGTGGTGTAATCTTGTCACTGCAACCTCCACCTCCTGGGTTCAAGCAATTCTCCTGCCTCAGCCTCCCAAGTAGCTGGTATTACAGGCGCATGCCACCATGCCCAGCTAATTTTTATATTTTTAGTACAGTCAGGGTTTCACCATGTTGGCCAGGCTGGTCTTGAACTCCTAACCTTGTGATCTGCCCACATCAGCCTCCCAAAGTGTTGGGAATGCCGGCGCTAGCCACTGCGCCCAGCCAAAAGAAACTTTCTTATTCATTCATTCATTTAAAAAAATTTTATTCAACAAATATTTGTTACGTTTTAGAATTGATTCCAAAGCCAGCAAATTCTACTCTTGCTAAGTATCCTCAGTCTGTCTCTAGGTTTCAGTTCATTCATTCTTGAATTCCTTTTCTTTTTTTTTTTTTTTTTTTTTTTTGAGATGGAGTTTCACTCTTGTTACCCAGACTGGAGTGCAATGGCGCGATCTCGGCTCACTGCAACCTCCGCCTCCTGAGTTCAGGCTATTCTCCTGCCTCAGCCTCCCAAGTAGCTGGGATTACAGGCATGCACCACCATGCCCAGCTAATTTTTTGTATTTTTAGTAGAGACGGGGTTTCACCATGTTGACCAGGATAGTCTCGATCTCTTGACCTCGTGATCCACCCGCCTCGGCTTCCCAAAGTGCTGGGATTACAGGCTTGAGCCACCGCGCCCGGCCTTGAATTCCTAATGTCTTTTCTTTCTGAAAGTATTGAGAAATTAACTAGAAGTCCTAGTTTCTGGCTTAGCTGCTGCTGCTTTTTTTTTTTCTTTTTTGAGACAGAGTCTTGCTTGGTTGCCCACTGCCCACACGCGGCTAATATTCTGTATTTTTAGTAGAGACAGGATTTCACTGGCCAGGCTGGTCTCAAACTCTTGACCTTAAGTGATCCTCTTGCCTTGGCCTCTCAAAGTGTTGGGATTACAGGCATGAGCCACCATACCTGGCCCTGGCATAACTTCTGTATTGAAAGTTATTACTTATTCTTTATGATTTTGAAAGCTATGTCAAGCTGCTTTTCTTTCTTTGTTAAATACATTTGTAATCCCTAAAAGAAGGATTTTTCACTTTGCTCTAGCCTAAGCCACCGTTGGCAGAATGAGATTTTTTTTGTTCTGGCTGCAAGTGATTCAAGTAAATGGCAGAGGCCCAGAAGTTACCTTTGGGATTTAACTGCAGTTATTGCTAATGAGTATTTCAGAGTCACTACGGATTTTTCTGTGGAACCTAGCCTATACCCTTTGAGAGTTATATTTGTTAATGTGTTACACTTAGTTTTCAACAGAAACCTAAAAACTTGACTACCAGGAAATAGCAGTTTTGTGCATTCAATAAATCACTTAGGAGAAATCCATAGTGGATCATGTCTAACTAAATTGTATGCTTATAAAATCATTGAGGCCAGACTGTCAAATGTAATTTTTTTTTCTGTTTTGCACATGCTTAGTTAATGCTAGGCATGTAATAGAAGGCTAAAGAAGTGTTTTAGCTAGTCTGTGCTTCAGTATTTCTGTTGGTTTGTTGTAGCCTAAAAAGCATTTATTTAGCTTTGAATTTCATTTAAGAATTTCTCAAAGTGTAGTCACTGAAACTCAGACAACCAAATGCTTTATGGGGAAAAAAGGTACAAGACCAAGTAAATTCAAGAAATGATGTATGACATAAGTCCTTTGTAAATAGCACCTTAATGATTTCTTCAACAAAACGTATTTTTATTTTGAGACAGTCTCACTCTGTTGCCCAGGCTGAAGTGCAGTGGCACGATCTTGGCTCACTGTAACCTCTTGGGTTCAAGTGATTCTCCTACCTCAGCCTCCCAAGTAGCTAGGATTAAAGGTGAGCACCACCACGTGCGACTAATTTTTAGTACAGAGGGGGTTTCACCATGTTGGCCAGGCTGGTCTTGAACTCCTGACCTCAGGTGATCCACCTGCCTTGGCCTCCCAAAGTCCTGAGATTACTAAGTTAATGTTTTTCAGTATTATTTGACTTTAGAACTCCTTTTTCTGTGAATACCCCCAAAAACAGTATTCAAAAAAATACTATTATGGAAACAGTTTATTTCCGTCTTTCTAAATTAAAGATTAATTCTTGCCTTTTAAGTACTTTTTGCCTCTTAAGGATGTTTTTCTCCAGTTTGTTACATAAGTTTGAAATATTTTTCTTGTGTATATGTAGGAGAAAATATATATATTCCTATTTCTTTAAATATTTGAGTATTTATATGTATAATAAATGCAAACATATAAATACATATATATATATATATATATATATATACACACACACACACACACATGTAATGTGTGATGTATATTTAGGTACAGTACAAACATGGGGTTTCGTATTTTGCTGTATGTATTATGCAGCCTTTAATGCCACCTCATCTAATATTTTCTCAATGGAGTCTTCCTTGACTACTTGTGGTAGAATTAATCTCTCACTTATGTTTATGCCCCAGTAGCACAAGGTGTGTACTTCTATTTACAGTACTTCCTGTACTTGTAATTATTCCCTATTTTCCAGACTAGAATAAATTATGCAAGGTCACAGAGGAACCAAGGTCACATCTTTGTATTGCTGTGATCTTAAAGCCTGGCCTATAGTAGGTGCTTTATTAAGTATTTGTTGAATTGAGTTCAATAAATATGAAAATTAATTTTCAGGTTTATGATTTTGATGTTCTTAGACTATAGCTTTTTAAGTTTCATGATCATTCTAAAGATGTTTTACATTTTTCCTGTAGGTTACTGTGTACAGCATGTATGTTTCTATAATGGCTTTTAATGCAAAGGTTAGTGATCCACTTATTGGAGGAACATACATGACCCTTTTAAATACCGTGTCCAATCTGGGAGGAAACTGGCCTTCTACAGTAGCTCTTTGGCTGGTAGATCCCCTCACAGTAAAAGAGTGTGTAGGAGCATCAAACCAGAATTGTCGAACACCTGATGCTGTTGAGGTAAGTATGTTTTAATTTTAGATAACATTAAGCTAATACTAAGATATTTCTTTGTTTTGCCTCTAGAAGTACTATATCTTTTTAAAAAATTTTATCTGCCCATAGGTTCTGGTATAGAAATCTACATATATTTTTTTTCTTTCACATCAAAACTGAGGATTATAATAATTCACATCAGCAAGACTAGTTCACTTAAAGGCACTTCTCAGTAGAGGAAAGGCGATCTCTCCTCCACCTTGAGGATCACTGTCCTACATAGCAGGCACTAGATAAATGCATAATTAATATGTTAAGTTTTGTAGTGGTAGAAAAGGGGAATGTCCATTGGCTGTTCATATAACTAAACCTAAATAGTGACTGGTTTGTCTATAAATTCTTTCAAAGTGACATTAGTCTACTTTAGAGTAGATGGACTGGAAATTTCTTCACATTACCGAATATGAAAGCTGCATGTTGAAAATAGGTATTCGGGCTGTGTGCAGTGGCTCATGCCTATAATCTTAGCACTTTGGGAGGCTGAGGTGGGTGGATTGCCTGAGCTCAGGAGTTCGAGACCAGCCTGGGCAACAGTGAAACCCCATCTCTACTAAAATACAAAAAATTAGTCGGGTGTGGTGGTGTATGCCTGTAGTTCCATCTACTCAGGAGGCTGAGGCAGGAGATTTGCTAGAACCTGGCAGGAAGAGGTTGCAGTGAGCCGAGATGGTACCACTGCACTCTAGCCTGGGCAACAGAGTGGGACTTCATCTCTAAAACAGAACAAAACACTCCAGCCTGGGCAACAGAGCAAGACTCCATCTCTAAAACAAACAAACAAAAAAGAATAGGTATTCAGCTGGGCTTGATGGCTCACACCTGTAATTCCAGCATTTTGAGGGGCTGAGGCAGGCAGATTGCTTGAGCCAAGGAGTTCAAGACCAGCCTGGGCAACATGGTGAAACACCATCTCTCCAAAAACATACAGAAATTAACAGGGCATGATGGTGCATGCCTGTGGTCCCAGCTACTCAGGAGGCTGAGGTGGGAGGATTGCTTAAGCCCAGGAGGCAGAGATTGCAGTGAATCATTATCACACCACTGGATTCCAGCCTGGGCAACAAGTGAGACCCTGTCTCCAAAAGAAAAAAAAAAAATGAGTGTTGTTTACAGCAAGAGCTGAAAATTATTTTTAATCCCGTTAGTAGCATTAGAGAGATTAAGATACATTAACGTATTTTGTCATTGGAATTTAGTGAAATTCTGGAATGTTTTAAGAAAAATATATATATATATATTTTTTTTTTTTTTTTTTTTGAGACAGAGTTTCGCTCTTGTTACCCAGGCTGGAGTGCAATGGCACGATCTCGGCTCACCGCAACCTCCGCCTCCTGGGTTCAGGCAATTCTCCTGCCTCAGCCTCCTGAGTAGCTGGGATTACAGGCACGTGCCACCATGCCCAGCTAGTTTTATTGTATTTTAGTAGAGACGGGGTTTCACCATGTTGACCAGGATGGTCTCGATCTTTCGGCCTCGTGATCCACCCACCTCGGCCTCCCAAAGTGCTGGGATTACAGGCTTGAGCCACCGCGCCCGGCAGAAAAATATATTTTGATTAATTATTTGTAAAGTAGAAGCATGTTAATTGCTAAATACTTTCATTTTGAAATTGTAGATTTTTTATTGTAGTTTTCTTTTCGCAGCTTTGCAAAAAACTGGGTGGCTCATGTGTTACAGCCCTGGATGGTTATTATGTGGAGTCCATTATTTGTGTTTTCATTGGATTTGGTTGGTGGTTCTTTCTTGGTCCAAAATTTAAAAAGTTACAGGATGAAGGATCATCTTCATGGAAGTGCAAAAGGAGCAATTGATGTATACACTACTGGACATTCTAGAAAGGTAATTGTAGTTTAGTTTCAATTCAGAGAGCAATGATAATCAGCACGCAGTAGTATAAAATATTATTTTAAACAAAGAAATTATTAATATAAAATGCCAAATGGTTGAAAAAACAGAAATCTCTCTGTATATTTGATCATATTTTTCTTTGCCTTGTTGATGTATTTAAAGTTTATATAGGCCGGGCGCGGTGGCTCAAGCCTGTAATCCCAGCACTTTGGGAGGCCGAGGCAGGTGGATCACGAGGTCGAGAGATCGAGACCATCCTGGTCAACATGGTGAAACCCCGTCTCTACTAAAAATAAAAAAAAAAATTAGCTGGGCATGGTGGCACATGCCTGTAATCCCAGCTACTCAGGAGGCTGAGGCAGGAGAATTGCCTGAACCCAGGAGGCGGAGGTTGCGGTGAGCCAAGATCGCACCATTGCACTCCAGCCTGGGTAACAAGAGCGAAACTCCGTCTCAAAAAAAAAAAAAAAAAAAAAAATTAAAGTTTATATAAGGTCAGGAAATTCTAAAACCACTTTTTTGGTCTTGTTATTTGATTTATATCTTTTAAATTTACTGACCAAAGCATGTTTTAAGTTGCAGTGCAGTAGTCGTGGGTGGTAACCATGTAGTCAAGTATTGTTATTAGTACTTGTCACTGAGCTACATTTAAAATTTTGGTACAATATATACAAGGGAGAAGAGCTTGATATTCAGGTACTAACCACAACTAGTCTGGCATTGTTGGCAGTTAAAATCTTTTTTTGAATTGTAAATTAGTTAAATTTTATGTGCAATTTGCTGAGAAGAAAATATAGACTACTGACATGTCATTTTAGTTGTTATTTTTCCTTTGACCACATTGTACAAATGAATCTGTGTTAAAAAGACTATTTTAAATGTATTTCCTGCTTTTGTAAGCATTAAAGATTTATAAGAAGATTATTCAAACTATTTTTTATAAAATGAAAGTTATGGTTTTTAAATTTATTGATTCCTCTTGCCCTTACCCCCTCTTGCACCTGCCCCCTCTTTTTTGAAGATATTTTGATTCCTTATAAACGTTTATCCTAAGCTTACATCTGTTTTAAGTGCTTCATGGCACACAGACAGCTAATGGAAGGGATCAAATTCAGTGTTGTGTGTATGTTTATGGCAATGTTTTAAAAATAAAAAGTAAATTCAAGTAGTTTTTTTTTTTAATTACTGAGAGAAAAAAACAGTAAAGCTTTCTGATTAAGTAAAATTTAAATGGACAGTACCATAATTTAAAAAACTAATACTTTAAAGAGAGAAAGACAAAGATATTTTGTGCCTTTGACAAATTAAATCTAATAGTGGAAAAATGTTTCTTAATTAAGCACTTTACTAGTGAAAAAGATCTCACAATTTAATGCCAAATCAGGTACTGTATTTTCATTTATTAATACATTACCTTTTGTTTGACTACTATAACGTGTACAGTTACTATTTCAAGACAATTAAGCTTTTGAGTACTTTGGCAATTTCCAGCATATTATGTACACCCAGTGATCAGGTTCTTTGCATGTTTTGTGTTATATATTACTCTGACTCTTTAGAGATTATATAAATCCTTCAAAAATTAGAGGAAACAAGATAGTTATGAGTCTTTATCATTGTGGAAAAATGTGTGCTAACTCCTGATTTTGTTAATTTTATAACATAGGTTGAATTTTAGAGTGGGGTTTTTATAAGTAATGGAGGATACAATGGGTGGGAGAAAATGGCACACAGCACCTGAAGAAAGATAGGGGCATTGACCTCTAGAGCTCATACGTTGCCATTGGAAAGCCTGTGTTGGGCATCGATGTCAGATCCTGAAGAATCACCTGGAAAAAATCCCATCCTAGAGGCAAGGAGGCTACACCAAACCATAGACTACAGTACTTTGTCACATGGTTGTCCATTATTGTGTATTATAGTCAAAATGATTACTTGAATAAAGAAAAATCCCACTTGACTCTTAAATATGAAATGTGTTTTGATTTTTATTTTTTGGAGTAAGAAACTCAGATTGCCATAATAACCTTTTCTTTTATTTCTTCCCATTTATATTACAACTTTTTATATATTTTTAAACAGTTTTTTTTTTTTTTTTTGAGATGGAATCTTGCTCTATCACCCAGCCTGGACTGAAGTGGTGCAATCTTGGCTCAGTGCAACCTCTGCCTCCCGGATTCAAATGATTCTCTTGCCTCAGCCTCCTGAGTAGCTGGGACTACAGGCACGCACCACCACAACCAGCTAATTTCTGTATTTTTAGTAGAGACGGGGTTTCACCATGTTGGCCAGGCTGGTCTTGAACTCCTGACCTCAAGTGATCCACCAGCCTTGGCCTCCCAAAGTGCTGGGATTATAGACATGAGCCACTGTGCCTGGCCTTTAAACATAGTTTTAATGTCAATACATCTTTTTTTTTTTTTTTTTTTGAGATGGAGTTTCGCTCTTGTTACCCAGGCTGGAGTGCAATGGCGCGATCTCGGCTCACCGCAACCTCCGCCTCCCGGGTTCAGGCAATTCTCCTGCCTCAGCCTCCTGAGTAGCTGGGATTACAGGCACGTGCCACCATGCCCAGCTAATTTTTTTGTATTTTTAGTAGAGACGGGGTTTCACCATGTTGACCAGGATGGTCTCGATCTCTCGACCTTGTGATCCACCCACCTCGGCCTCCCAAAGTGCTGGGATTACAGGCTTGAGCCACCGCGCCCGGCAATGGCAATACATCTTAATTACTTGAAGTTTTAAAACATTTTAAGCCTTTAGGGTGAAAGCCATTAATTAGTTTGCTCTAGAAATAAACACAAAAATTATAGTTATTGGTAATTTGAATACACACGTATGTAATACATACCAGAATAACTTGTTAATAGCTATATGCAACTATGTTATATACTTTGATCACTAATGGCATTTGAAAATGATCTACCTAAATCTGAGGATCTGTTTGTTATAAATTAGTAGCACTAAAAAATACTATCCTATTTTTATGTGTGGGTGTTTTTCTCGATTGATTGATCCTGATAAATTAAACAGTACCCTCAAGTATGGACTTTAACTCCTCAAGTTAATGCATCATATGTTTACTGGCTAATATTAAATTGAACATTTTTATCTTTATGTAAGTAGCTCCATATGCACATTGGTTGCCAAATATATACATCTGAGTTTGAAAAGTTCTTCTGAGATTACCTAAAGGTAACACCACAGACTCCTTCCATTGTAAATATTTTATTATTATTTTTTTTTTAGAGACAAGGTCTCACTTTTGCCCAAGCTGGAATACAGTGATGCAATCATAGTTCACTGCAGCCTCAAACTCCTAGTCTCAAGAGATCTTCCTTAGGCTGGACGCTGTGGCTCATGCCTGTAATCACAACACTTTGTGAGGTAGAGACGGGAGGATCACTTGAGGCCAAGAGTTAAAGACCAGCCTGGGCAATATAGTAAGAACCCATCTTTACAATTTTTTTTTTTTTTTTAAATGCAGGCATGGTGGTACACACTACTAGTCATAGGTGCATGGGAAGCTGAGGCGGGAGGGTTGCTTGAACCCAGTAGGTCAAGGCTACGGTGAGTAGTGATTGTGCTATTGCACTCCTATCTGGGCGACAGAATAAGACCCTGTCTCAACAACAAAAAAGGATCTTCTCACTTCAGCCTTTCTAATAGGACTACAGGCCACTATGCCCAGCTACTTAAAAAAAATAATTTTTTATAGAGATGGGGTCTGCTATATTTCCTAGGCTAGTCCCAAACTCACAGCTTCAAGCAATCGTCCTGCCTTGGCCTCCCAAAATGCTGGGATTACAGGCATAAGCCACCATGCCCTGCCCATTGTACATATTTTAATTTTGCCTATCAGTCATAAAAAGTTTAACACTTTAAATATATTTCTCAATTTTTTAAATGTTACATCTTTGAAATCTGAAGTAATTATTGGATTTTACCCCTTTATTGCAAAGTTTTTTATCTAGTTGTCTGTGAGAAAACCCCTGAATAGTGAGTGAAACTCTGGATATGTAATTTTTTTTCTTTTTCTGAACAGAGTAAAATCTTGGGAGAGCCATGATCCAAAAATCATGGCTTTGAAAATGGACTGTACTATGAGTCATAATCACAAATCTGAGGTAATAGTTGTGAAAGTGTTTAAAGCATCCTGAAAACAATGTTGCAAAAAAAATCTATGATGAAAACCATAAAATCTCTGCGTCTGTAGTACTGTATTGAACTTGAAACTTTGAAGGAATTAGAGTAGATAAGACATTACTGGTAGAAGAGAAAACATAAGGGTGCATTATATCCTACAAAAGACATATCTTAGTCATTTAACCTTTTTTTTCTGTGAGTGACTTTTATTTTGCCTTATTAATAGAAACATGAGGAAGTATGTTGCTTTGTATTAAATGGTTGAGACCATTATTTGATTTAAAAGCTGAAAATTTTGTTTTTCTATTTTGGAGAATCCTGTGTTTTCCAAGTAATTGAAAGAGTGACTAAAGCTATATAACCCTGCTAAAATTAAAGAAACAACTCGGCCGGGCGCGGTGGCTCACGCCTGTAATCCCAGCACTTTGGGAGGCCGAGGCGGGTGGATCACGAGATCGAGAGATCGAGACCATCCTGGTCAACATCGTGAAACCCCATCTCTACTAAAAATACAAAAAATTAGCTGGGCATGGTGGCACATGCCTGTAATCCCAGCTACTCAGGAGGCTGAGGCAGGAGAATTGCCTGAACCCAGGAGGCGGAGGTTGCGGTGTGGAGAGATCGCGCCATTGCACTCCAGCCTGGGTAACAAGAGCGAAACTCTGTCTCAAAAAAAAAAAAAAAGTGACAACTTGTTGGAACCATTCCATGCAGATTTCCAAAATATATTTTACCTTATTATTAGAGAAAGAAAATAAACTTTTAAAATAATCTGGTAACTATCATTCATATATTTAATGAGAAGCATTTTAGTTACAGAAGGGAAGATGATATTGTACATTGTAACCGCTAAGACTTTTTTTTAACTAATATCTTTGGTAGATAAAAAGGCACAATTATTATCTCTTTGAGAGCATTTTAAACACCTATTGCAGGCTGGGCGCAGTGGCTCATGCCTATAATCCCAGCATTTTGGGAGGCTGAGGTGGGCGGATCACTTGAGGGTCAGGAGTTTGAGACCAGCCCGGCCAACCTGGTGAAACCCCTGTTCCTACCAAAAGTACAAAAATTAGTTGGGCATGATGCTGCATGCCTGTAATCTCAGCTACTAGGGAGGCTGAGGCATGAGAATTGCTTGAGTCTGGGAGGTGAAGGCTGCATTGAGCTGAGATTGCGCCACTGCACTCCAGCCTGGGCGACAGAGCAAGACTCCATCTCAAAACAAAAACAAAAATAGGCCGGGCGCGGTGGCTCAAGCCTGTAATCCCAGCACTTTGGGAGGCCGAGGCGGGTGGATCACGAGGTCGAGAGATCGAGACCATCCTGGTCAACATGGTGAAACCCCGTCTCTACTAAAGGTGCAAAAAATTAGCTGGGCATGGTGGCGTGTGCCTGTAATCCCAGCTACTTAGGAGGCTGAGGCAGGAGAATTGCCTGAGCCCAGGAGGCGGAGGTTGCGGTGAGCCGAGATCGCGCCATTGCACTCCAGCCTGGGTAACAAGAGCGAAACTCCGTCTCAAAAAAAAAAAAATAAAATAAAAATAAAAATAAATAAAAACAAAACACCTACTGCAGACTATGTTCTATTTTATTACTTTATTTTATTATTATTATTTTTTTGAGATAGAGTCTGGCTCTGTCTCCCAGGGGCTGGAGTGCAATGGTGCAATCTTGGCTCACTGCAACCTCCACCTCCTGGGTTCAAGCGATTCTCCTGTCTCAGCCTCCCAAGTAGCTGGGACTACAGATGTGCATCACCACACTGGCTTATTTTTGTATTTTTGGTAGAGATGGGGTTTCACCATGTTGGCCAGGCTGATCTCAAACTCCTGATCCTCTCGCCTCCGCCTCCCGAAGTGCTGGGATTACCGTTTGTGAGCCACAACGCTGGCTCTTTTTTACTTTAGATTTTATCTGGCTGATTTGACAATGCCAAATATTTTATGTAATCATTATTTGGTTTAGGACTGAGAGCCCTTTCATTTCCCACCAATCAAACCACTAGTAGAGTCTTCATATTACTCCCCCAATTTGTTAGCTAGGTAGAATCAGCATGGATAGCTCATTTTCTTTCCTGGAATTCTGTTTTTGAGGAGGCAGTTCTCATAGCAGGGCTATGTACTAATTAATGTACTGAACTCATTCCCTCCCACTTAAGTGAATAAAAACTTTTATTTGACTATGGATTATAAAGATGGCCTTCAAAGGAGCCTTGTTTATTGTGGGGAAGGGGAATGGATCTTTTGTAGGAGAAGAAGACTTTATATATATAATGAATGAAAATTCTATGGGCTGGTTGCAGTGGCTCATTCCTATAATCTCAGCACTTTGGGATCCCAAGGTTGGAGGATTGCTTGAGCTCAGGAGTTCAAGACCAGCCTGGGCAATATAGTGAAACCACATGTCTATTTTTAATTAAAAAAAAAAAAAAGAAAATTCTGTGATTAATCACCTTTACTCTAAAAATTTTTGCCTGTGACAAGCATGGTGGCTCACGGCTGTAATCCCAGCACTTTCGGAGGCCGAGGTGGGTAGATCATCTGAGGTCAGGAGTTCAAGACCAGTCTGACCAACGTGGAGAAACCCCATCTCTACTAAAAATACAAAATTAGCCAGGCATGGTGGCGCATGCCTGTAATCCCAGCTATTACAGGCATGAGGCTGAGGCAGGAAAATCACTTGAACCTGGAAGGCAGAGGTTGTGGTGAGCCAAGATTGTGCCATTGCACTTCAGCCTGGACAACAAGAGCAAAATTTCATCTCAAAGAACAAAAAAACAAAACAAAACGTGCCCAAATGAATAAGAGATCAC